GATAATTCCTTTTTATCGGAAAGGTTGTACCTCAAGGGTGACCCCATACTAATTTGGTTTAGATCCGGTCATTGGATCATGAAGAAATTAACGATCAATATTTATATGAAGTCATTTGTGTTTTTTTTTTGTTTAAAAATTACTTGTTCTTCTTTTATGAAAGAACAGCTCGTTATCTATCAAACACCAGGTAAGTCTAAATTTCAATCTTTGTACAGAAGTTAAGAAAATTCGACAAAGTTCCATAACAATTTTGAGCTTTTTAATTCGATTCCTTATTGATATTTTTACATGGATATTATTTTATAATGCTATATACGTATGTGTCTCACTGTGCGAGAGAAGAAGGCAGATAATATTGTGGCGAATACTGCGGCAACGCGAAGAGAACTACGAGAAATAGGCAGAATGTTCGAAGAATGACGTAGAATGTTCCACAAAGAGAAACGTCAAGTTGGATGAACACTGCGAACAGCGAGAGAAAGAGAATGAGCGATAAGCTTCAGAACGTTCTAGAGTTGCCATAAGTACGAGCGCAGATATATAAGGGCGCCGCCACAGCGAAGTGAGTTAGTTACAAGACAGCAAGCTACAAGTAAAGTGAGCAGAGAAGTGAGTTGCGAAAAAGCAAGCTATAAGTTTAATTGTGTTATCAAGTTCAGTTAAGCGTTGTTATTGCCTTAACAAGTATTGTAAAGTGATTTTACTGTATTAGCGAGTATTGTAAATTGATTGTTGTACAAAAAAGTTAATTGTACTACAATTTGATCATCATAAGCATTTATTTAACATTCCAGGGATACGAGCCGGAGGATATTTAGGAAATCCGGACGAGGTTTCAAGGATAGTCGTAACAATTGGTGTCAGAAGTGGGATTGTTAAATAAATCCCGAAGGATAAACTACTGAAAATGGCAAAAATTCAGGACTTAAAAATTGAGGAGCTGAAACAGGAGTTGGAAAAGCGTAATTTGCCCACCTCGGGAAGAAAAGTGGAATTGATATCCCGGTTGCGGGAGGCTATGAAAGCTGAAAGCATCGACGTGGACAAATACGACTTCCAGGGTAAACCCGACGATGCATCCGCAAAGGACGAACAGAAGGATGAAGCTGCTTGTTCGTCGAAGGATGTGCAGCAGACATCCGGGAAGGTTGAAGAACAGCAAAAGTCTCCAAGTTCATCAACAGCTATGGACTTGAACACGTTATTGGCTGCCATGTCACAGATGTCATCACAGCTGTCGTCACAGATGCAAGCACAGGATACACGCATGTCACAGATGTCATCCCAGATGCAAGCGCTGGAGACACGTATATCTTCAGGGGTATCAGCGCAGGTGTCATCCCGGTTAGAAACTCAGCTACTGGCACAAGAGACACGTATATCATCCCAGCTGGAAGCACAGGATGCAAAAATTACTCAAATACAGGACAAAATCGAAGAGAGACAGGAGAAAGTCGAGGCAAAGGTAGAGGAGTTGGAAGGGCGTGTTCGTGATTTACAGTTGAATCGTCCAGCTACTAGCGCACCCAAGGTAAAGACTCCATCCTTTGACGGCACTATTCCTTTCCAGGTCTTTAAGCTCCAGTTCGAAAAGACGGCTACAGCAAATCGTTGGAGCATGGAGGATAAATCCGCTGCGTTATTCGTCGCATTGAAAGGACCTGCAGCGGAAATCTTGCAGACTACTCCCGACTGTGAAAGGAACAATTACTATGCGTTAATGGGTGCAGTGGAAAGACGTTATGGTAGCGAGCACAGGAGACAGATTTACCAGATGGAGCTGGAGAATCGCTGCCAGAAATCCAACGAGACTTTACAGGAATTCGCCTCTGAGATTGAAAGGCTAGCTCATTTGGCAATAGGAGATGCATCTGGTGAGCACCTCGAAAGAGTAAAAATCCAGAGGTTCATCAACGGAATGCGGGACGTGTATACCAAGCGAGAGACGTACGCGAATCCAAAGCCAACATTTGCTGAAACTGTCTCGTATGCTCAGACGCGTGAAACGGCGGCGCTGCATAGTAGACCAGCCTACAAAGCACATCGCGTGAAAGTGGAAACACCGAAAGAGACAAATGAAATGCTGAAGAAGATTATCCAACTGCTGGGCGAGAAAAAGAATGGCTCTGGAAAATGTTTTAAATGTGGAAAGCCAGGCCACTTCGCCCGCGATTGCAGTGCAAGTTCCAGTGGGCTCAACAATTCAGGAGGACTCAAACGCAGGGCTGAAGGAGACAGCCAACTCCAATCAGTCGTTAAACTGAAACGAGCCAGTAGGAAGGGCCGCGTGCTGGCTCCAGATGTTGAAGGGCCCATAACCTCCGTCTCACAAATTGGCCGGAAATCATGCAACATCACTGTTGGTGGATGTGTGAATGGGCAGGACAGAGTACTGACAGTGGATACTGGAGCGACACATTCCATTATTCGACCGCATTTGGCCACTTTTTATGTGAAGCCACTACCCGGAGCAAAGCTGCAGACTGCAACTGGTGAACGCACCCAAGTGTTAGGAGAAGTACCATGCGGGGTAATAATCGACGATGTGGCCTCGTACACTAAGTTTATAGTGGCAGACATTGTGGATGAAGTCATCATCGCCGTAGATTTCTTACTTGGCCAAGGCATGAAGATTGACCTCCAGAGAATGATCCTGACAGATCGTCACAGGAAAGTGCCACTTAGGGTTGGTTACGACAGCCAGTGCTGCAGCAGACGGTTAGTCTTAGAGGAAGTGTCGAAGATTCCTCCGGAAACGGAAGCGGTTAGTTGGGCGGAGGTTGGCAATGATGCAGACGGAGTGGTTTCGTCAGGAGAAGGAAGCGGTTCACCGATACAGGAAAAGCGTGACGGTTCCGCTAGCTCAGTGAAGAAGAGGTCGCAACAAGGAAGTGGTCATGGCAAGCCAGGCAGTGTTTCCGGCAGGAGGAAAGCCGCTAAACCACGTGGCAATGGTGATACGCCGCTGGCCGGAAATGGAAGCGGCTGTGGGAGCAGTAGGCGCGCTTTGAAGTGTCCCGAAAAAGGTGGTCGGCAAAGGCAAGCAGTTTAGCCGGAAGCCAAGGATGAAGTTATACATGTCCGGTCAATGAGGTTGACGCCGGCGAAGGAGCGAGATGCGGAAACAATGGGTCAGTGTGAGGAACCGGATTTAGCAAGATGTGCTAAAGGCAGTGCAGCACGAAGGCAGGAGCATGGGTGTCATGTACACAAGAGGAGACGTGGTCTGCTCACTACCAGTGGCCGGGAGAAGCACGACCATGTGAGATGGTGCACCACCGGAGATAAGCTGGAAGCAATGTCCAGCAACGCATCGAGCCGAGAGGAGCTACAGGAAGGCGATTTGGTGTTGATGCACATGCCGCAGCCGAATAAAGGCGTCACCTCCGAACAACATTGTAACTGGAAAGGTCCGTATAGGATTGACAAACGGTTGAAGGACGCAGTGCATCCAATCCAGACAGCTGGTAGACCGAGATCCAAGATGAAAGACTAGCAACGTTTGGAACAGCAAGTGTGTCTGATCGGGACGATCAGACTTAGGTGGAGGGCAGTGTGGCGAATACTGCGGCAACACAAAGCGAACAACGAGAAATAGGCAGAATGTTCGAGGAATGACGTAGAATGTTCCACAAAGAGAAACGTCAAGTTGGATGAACACTGCGAACAGCGAGAGAAAGAGAATGAGCGATAAACTTCAGAATGTTCTAGAGTTGCCATAAGTGCCAGCGCAGGTATATAAGGGCGCCGCCACCGCGAGGTGAGTTAGTTACAAGTCAGCAAGCTACAAGTAAAGTGAGCGGAGAATTGAGTTGCGAATAAGCAAGCTATAAGTTTAATTGTGTTAACCAGTTTAGTAAAGCATTTTTATTGATAACAAGTATTGTAAAGTGTTTTTACTGTATTAGCAAGTATTGTAAATTGTTTGTTGTACAATAAAGTTAATTGTACCACAATTTGGTCATCGTTAGCATTTATTTAACAATAAAGCGATACGAGCCGGAGAATATTTGGAAGGTCCGGACGAGGTTTCAAGCTGAAAGTCGAGAGCGCAGAACGTATACTTAAACGCAGTCTGTATACGCAGAGATTTTGTCGATTACTGGAGCCCTCAGTGTTGCTTACTACACTGTTGCCACTCATCAATGCCTTTTCATAAACTTACCCTTTCAACTACAATTTTTCGTGCAATAATAGATTTTAGCTAAGTATAAACTACTTAGTTTTCAACAAAAACCTTATTCAATAGTAAATTTCAAATATTTTAAACATATTTTGAATAGGAACTTATATCTTTTTTACCATCTGTAAAACTGACTAAGTGGCAACCATCTAAAGAAGGAGAAATCAGCTGACACGGAAAAATCTAAATTCCGCAGATTTCTGCGCTACGGGCTACAACTACAGAAAAATTCTGCGGTGTTGAGTTTTCATTTACATGGCGCTTTGGTAAGACAGATCGTGTCAGCTGACTCGGGTTTACGTACCGGTAGGTTTACGTTCTTGACTAATTTCAGCTTCAAGGATAATCGTAACAATATTGTAGGGGGGTTTCATATTTCATTTTTCTTCATTTCTCAATGATGTAGCAAGGATTTTATAAATAAGTTAACCATTTTAACATAAACTTTAAACATTTTACATCGTACACAAAAATCTTCATTTTGGAGATATTTTCATTGTAAAAATTTTTACTAAAAAATAGCCCGAAATATCTTAATTTTCAAGATAATTCTTCACTTATGGCAACGCTGGGGGCACGCTTAATTTTAGGCTTCGGCTTCATTGGCCGTATGAATAAAAATAAGTAATTGCTTTTTCCTAAAATTTCAGATCATTTACTTGATTTGTTCAAACAAAATTGAAGTAAAAGGTATGAAATATTAAGCAAAAGCAATAAGTTATTTTTATTCATACGGCCCATTAAGTGGCTGTCCAGCGAAAAGGCTTCGTGTAAACGTAGAGTTAGGCTACCCTCCTTTGTTTCATAAATTCCACCCGTTCCGGTACAACTAGCGATGGTGTGCGTTTAAGTTATTTATTAATGAACGACCATCACTAAATTATTTCGGAAAATTTTATAAGAACACTTAGTTTAACAACTATATCGTCATTTTTAACGTTTGATAATGCGAGTTAGTGCAGTTTGGAAGTATTTTGTCAAAGTAGACGATGGCAGAAGAGTAAGGTGTAAAGAGTGTAATAAATCGTTAAAATATAACAAAAGCACAACTACACTTTCGTTTCACCTAAGAGCTATGCATGGAATAGACACAGGTAGGTATATCTAACTTCAGCCGCTTGTCTGGGTTAAAATATAAAATATTTTCGAATGTACTGTTTTATCGCTTGAGTAGTGGGTCGATTTCAAAGTTGAAAAGGAATATAGCTTATGAATCGGGTATCGACTAACCATCCCTAACCAAACTTTTCGGCGGTTAGTTGATTTGACGCCATTATCCAAATCGATAAAGGTTAGAATCGACTTCCAACATTCAATCAAGAGGAAGACAAATTTGGTTTGAACGTGAAAATCCCGAGTCTCAATACCCTGTATAACAATTTTTTTAACATGTTAACCATGGTATAATTCTGTGTTCGTATGGAAATGTGGCTTATGTCGAAAGGCTGGCTTTAGTATAATGCGGCAATCCCTTTATTTTTTAAACGACAAGGAATTTTTTGATGAGACTTAATAAGAATATTGACTTGCTAGTATCGAAACTATTTCTTCCACGTTTATTTACCAAAAGTTGTTCAACGGCTTACCGCCAGTGAGTCATTCGCAATCGTATGCTGCGAATGCCGATTTATACTAAAGCCAGCCTTTCGACATAAGCTACTTTTCCATATGAACACAGAATTTAAGAGGGCATCATGGGTAGTGGGACCAACTATTTCAAAGCTCAAAGAAGTACAGGACCTGAGAACCAAAAATAGTATAAAAGTAATAAGAAAATGTTAAAAGAGGAAAATTAGCATACCTAAAGAATACCTACCCTTGAACTAGAGAAAATAGAATACTTGGACGTGGTGCGCCCCTTTCTGCTGAATTTAATGGTAGGCTTTTTTTTGGTGCAAATTGACAGGGGCGGCGCTAGGGGGCCTAAACGTGGAATTTTCAACATTTTCAAAGCTTATATTTTCTTAATTTTCGCTTGTGACAACGTGTGCACACATGAGGTAACGAATAATTTAACACAACGACATGATTGATACAAGAATTTGCATAATAAAAATGATTATTCATGCGTTCTACAATTACGCGGGTTTTTTGGTTCTCTTCGTTGTTTACTTCTTACAACAAAGATGGCGTCGAAATTTCAACAGCTAGAAAATAACTTTTTTCATTCTTTCGGGAAGGCGTGATCTTGTGTCTTTCGTTCATGACTAAAAACATATATATTTTTTAGAAAGTGCAAGTTCTTCCCTCTAATTTGATATATGTACATATTTTGTTATGATCTACTTTTGAGGTTTAAGAATTCAGTGATAAAATAAATTCAAAGCATTTACAAGCAAGTGACAAGTGTGGGTGATAAGTTTCTTTTGCCCAGAACTTCTTTCTGCGTAGGAGGCCTTCGGCCGCGTTAGGGCTCATAACCCTTACAAAGTTGAACTCTCCTTTCTGTATTGCCGAAGAAGCGGAGCTGAACACCTCTTGCAGAGAACACCTTTCTGTGTAGGCGGCCCTCGACCGCACTTAGGGATCATAACCCTTACCAAATAGAATTCTCCTTTTCTTGAGCACCAAGTGATGTAGTCTTGGGAAAAGATGAGGTAAATGGGCCTGAGCACACTAGCCTGCTTAGTCGCACTGAGCAGTCCACCACTCGAACGCACACTGGATTGGGGAGTCGGCAGAAAACAGGTTTCAGTTTTGTATACATGAACTACGCATGATTGTATTAGTGCATGTGGCACATGCAAACAAAACGAAAAAGAAAACATGGTGTCTATGTGTGCGTGCCAGTCCACCGTCCATCCGCGATTTTCGTGGACTGAAATTAGCGAGGTAAACCCGAACTCTCTTCCCCCTCTTATCCACACAAACCCGGTTTTAGGCGGATTGAGCAGTCCAGTGTGCGGAGGCCCAATAGAATTCCCTTTCTGTGCGCTAAACCTGGGGATGCCGCCACAGTGATTTATTATGGTTACTGGGTGTTTTATATAAAAATGTCGTGTATATAAAAATGTCTTGTATATAAAAATGTCTTGTGCAAATGAATATTTAACATTTTTCAAGCGAAACAACGCAAATGAAAATTGTGATTTTTGGCAATTTTTCTAAGAACTCCCTAGGGGCCATAATGGAAAGCCAACCCGTTTAATTAACTACATTTGCACATACCTGCATTTATATTATTTATTATCACTGAATTCTATGAATGAAAAAACTATGAATTTTGTTTTTTATTTTATAATATTTTTGGCTTAGGTTTATAAAAAAGCATACACATGTTACATATTAGCTTGAAGATAAATTAATTGTCTTTATTTTGACATCATTACCTAATAAAATTACCATTAAACATTAAGGGTACTCATTTAAAAGCGCAAAACTCTCGCAAACTGGGCAAACTGTGCAATTTAAAATCCTCGCAAATGAAATGTCAAAATTTGTATTGAAAGGTATTTGCACAAAAAGGGCAAGTTTGCGCGGAAATTTTGTCGCGCAAATTTGCGCAATGTGATGTGCAACCCTCAGTTAACTATTTTGTTTACTTTCATTTTGAATTGTGCTCAACGCTTTTTCGTAAGACTTAAATATTTTCTTAAATTCGAGTTTCAATTGTTCAACTTTTTAAATTGACATTTTCAAATGATTAATGTCTGAAATTGCACAGAATATAAAATTGTCCTCATGAAACACACTGCGCAAAGTTGCCTAATTGCCCAAATATGAAACTTGCGCGAATCGATGAGTACCGTTATTAATATTTAAAAATATCACTTTTTTTTTGTTTTACCTTTTATATCTACTTTACTTTTTAAATGCGGCAAATCTATACTAATTATATAAAGAGAAGTCCCTTTTTTTGTAACAGGTAATCTCGCGAACGGCTGGTCCGATTTTCATGAAATTTTGTATACAAATAGCTTTCGGTAACCACCATGTTTTAGGCTAAAAAAATTTTACTTTTTTCGGGTAGGTGGACCAGGGACCAGTCTATTCGAAAAAATCTTATTATAGTCCGATTTGCTTAAAATTTAGTACGTAAGTAACTTTTTAGCATATATTCCGGGAAATGGTCCAGGGACCGATCTATTCCAAAAAATCGCATTTATGGTCCGATTTGCTTAAAATTCGGTAGGTAAGTAGTTTTTTAGCATATATTAGGACATATGGTCCATTTTTTCCGAGAAGTGGACCAGGGACTCATCTATTCGAAAAAATCGTATTTACGGTCCGATTTGCTTAAAATTCGGTACGTAGGTAGCTTTTTAGCATATATTAGCATATATTATCCATTTTGTTCGAGAAGTGGACCAGGGACCGATCTGTTCGAAGAAATCGTATTTATGGTCCGATTTGCTTAAAATTCGGTACGTAGGTAGCTTTTTGCCTGGATAAGCTTATAGATTCCTGTTTTCCAAATAGCTTTAAGTAACGACCATATCAAGGGGCGAATTCGTCACTAGGGAAGATTTTTTTGCGCAAATCAGAAACAACGGATACTGTCAAAATATAATTATAATATATAATATATCTCAACTAATATATATTTAGAAAGCCGTTTGTTAGTTTTCGCAAGGCTCGACAGCGGCTGAACCGATTTTTTTGAAACTGCCACCTGCCGCACGTGTACCAAGGATGGTTTTAGGCTGAAAAATATCTATATGTAAAGGGGGCGTGGCACTTCCCATACAAACCGAAAGTGTGCATGGTAGAGTTTTGGAAATTGGTATGGAGATATACGAAATCAATCGCATACCCTTGGAGAAAATTTTTAGCTATTGTAAAAAGGGGTGTGACATCTCCCATACAAACCGAATTTTTCATACTGCTTATCTCTGGAAATTTTTTGGTACAGTTCTAGAGTTTTGTATGGAGATGTACGAAATAAATCGCATACTCTTGGAGAAAAATTCGAACTATTGGAAAAGGGGGCGTGGCATCTTCCATACAAACCGAATTTTTCATATGCTTATCTCTGGAAATTTTTTGGTAGAGTTCTAGAGTTTTGTATGGAGATGTACGAAATAAATCGCATACTCTTGGAGAAAAATTGGAACTATTGGAAAAGGGGGCGTGGCATCTTCCATACAAACCGAATTTTTCATACTGCCTATCTTTGGAAGTGTTCATGGTAGAGTTCTGGAACTTGGTATGGAGATATACGAAATCAATCGCATACTCATGAAGAAAGAGGGCAGCTCTTGGAAAGGGGGGCGTGGCACCTCCCATATAAATCGAATTTTTATACTGCATATTTCTGAAAGTATTCATGGTACTGTACTGGAACTTCGTATGGAGATATGTATATACTTGAAATCAAGCCCATACTCATGGAGAAAATTTGGGCTATTTGAAAACGGGTGTGAGGCCTACAAACGTACCGACCTTTAGCTATCTTTGAATGAATTTTTTTATTCTTCTGTAGGTGTGTTTGTGAGTGATCTCCTCCTAAATGGTTGTACGGATTTTAACGAAACTTTTTGTGTATTTGAGTGGGT